GAAGCGAGATTTATTGGGGGAAGTGACATATTTTATGGAGGGGGAAGGGGGTTAGGGTTTCCACTGAAAGCAAATTTTCGAGCAATTTCGCACATACTTGGTTTGGTTTACTCAAATTTTTGCGCCGTTTGACGAAAGACTAAGTTGGCTAAAACAATTGCAAATATTGTGGAAATGTACGCAAAATTAATGATTTTCGCGGAAATTTTGTGGAAAGACAGTTCAATTTTTGATAAGGGTTTTGATTTATATACTGATGTTATGTTTGGTGATGGGTTTCCATTTGTTTCAAAATCATCCTTTTCTTCCAATTCTTGGCAATCAATCCTAGTTGGGCCATTTATCAATTGGATAAAACCAATTGTTCACAAATTTTAATCTTTAAATGGCCGAAAGAGACAATACTTTTCTTTCTGGTGTAGAGGTACAAAATATATACGGATACAAGAATAATAAAAACCTCTCCAGAATCTGGGGATCAAGAACTGATGTTCATCTTATGCAGACCAACGTATTAATTCAATTCCTCTTGAATATCCCGTACTGCAGGGATAAAAAAAGTCAAGGGATCAAACCATAGATTAATTAACGATAACAGACAGGACAGTAGATGTGGTCTTTTATGATCTAGAAGTTCTTTGTTCACAATAACCCTGAGGCAGAAGCCTATAGGAGTTCCAAGCAGGCAGCGTTGAATAACAAGACAGAGAGAGAGAGCAGGCGCTGCCTGCACGGAACTCCTTTGGGCTTCTGTCTCAGGGTTATTGTGAACGAAAACTCCCTAAATCTTGAAAAGACGACATTTAGTGTCCAATCTATTAATGTTTATTAATCTATGGATCAAACACATAACCCACAGTGGATATTGAGATCTTAAGTATGGCCATTAAACAAAAGTTTTGACTTCAGGTCATTTCTGGGTTTTAAGGATTTTGGAAAACAAACGAACGAATTTTTGCCACAGAGTTTAGAATAATGCTTTTCAAAACCTTGCAATACATTTCAATAATAATCAAAAAATACCCCTGCTGTTGGTATTTTCAAACTATTGGAGAATGAAGTTCATTTTTCAATTTTTAAGTAAACCTAAATTTGTCTACATGATTGTTTTTAAAATATATTTTTTTTATTAAACTTAATGAACTATTTTAATTATAGTTATTTAAAATATATTCAGCTCTTCTTATTTGGGCTTTACTAATTACGTTCTCGTAACTAAGTTTAGTATAAAAGATATAAATAATACCGTCTTTTTATTTCCATATTCTCTTCATAACACATTTTTCTAAAGTAGAACAGAATTTATCACTCATGCTTTCTTTCTTTCAACAACTTGGAGAAAATAAACAATGTCTCTTCAAAGATTAATTTTATTTTTAGAAACTAGAAATATTTTTCTTATTTCCATGCATTGTTCTCAGCGCTTTCCAGTAAACCTTCTCTGCAGTTAGGAGAAGGTTGAAGGGATGCCGGATATAGGAGTAGAGAGAACTGATACAGGACGCGTATTCAGATACTACTCTACCCTCCTCTACACCAGTAAACTCAACCTAATCAAGAGATATTACAGGATATATATATTCAGATACTACTCTACCATCCTATACACTATACTAGACTCAACCTAATCAAGAGATATTACAGGATATATATATTCAGATACTACTCTACCCTCCTCTACACCAGTAAACTCAACCTAATCAAGAGATATTACAGGATATATATATTCAGATACTACTCTACCATCCTATACACTATACTATATATATATATATATATGTAATATACTTATATATATATATCTAAGTATTTTTTAGATAAATGTAAATAACTATGTAAATAGTCACCTTGTGTACCAGTTTTGCACATATTTTGCAGGGACGAGGTTTTTGAATTTCACCTTATAGTCTATGTTAAAACATAGTCTTACGGATGCCTTGATCCCTGATCATTTCTATCAAGTAAATTACAGCTATATTATATAATGTGCATCTATAGCTTTTCATATTTATACCCAAACTATTGATTTCAGGTATTAAAAGAGTTTCTGCCAAAAACTCAAAATGTCTAATCCCTAAATCTTTGGAACCCAATTTTGTAGACATTTGACACTTTCCAAGAATGAATTATGTTGATCAAATAATCTAAGTTTAAAATATTAAAGTTTTACAACTTCACGTTCCAAAGATTTAGGGATTAGAAAAATTTAGTTTCTTTGGAAAAATTTCACTGAGAAGACTTGGAGAATCCACAAATAAAATCCTATTTTTGCTCTTTTTGTCCTTTTCTCTCACAGTTTGTATCCCTTCTATAGTCCCTCTTCATGTTTTTTGAGTTAAATTTTTTTTTTTTTGAGATGAAAATTATTTTCTTGTGTTTTATCTGAAACCATGTATTTAACTTAATGTAATATTTTATATAATACTGTTTGTAAATTATAATATAATAAATCTGTTTTATTTAAAAATTATTAAATCAAAAATAGAACACTTTTTTCCATCAGTCAAAGAACTTGGGAAAACTCAATAAATGATCAATTTTTCCAATAAAAGAAAAGTTTTATTATTATTATTATCCATAAGAAAAAAGGTTTAAACATTTTGAACTGAGCTTACAAGGCGCTTAGCATCGATTTTTTTCTTGATAGCTTGGAACCATTGGACCATCGCGCCCTACCCCCCTCCCCGCTAAAATTCTCTGCACGTCCCTATCATAATATATCTACCTATAAGCTTGGGAACCCAGCGCTGCCAAGGTTACTAAAACTTACTCCCACTTTTTAACCCCACTTGATCGATTTTACCGGGAAACTAAATTTTCGCTATTAAAGTCGACCAACTCAACTTAGAATCTCCTGAGTTATGATCGGACAAACACACAGAGATTACAACTTTATCCATATATAGATACTGGAAAGAGTTTCTATTTACAAAAGGTTAGAACTAATGGAGGAGATAATTCATATATTTATCATCCCTAAATACTCTAAGTTTAGTCCAAGCGACTAAACTGATCGGGCCCAAAATTGGTGTGGCAACTCACATGGCCCCATAGAAGGTCAAATTGAAAAAATTGTCGACATTTAATATTCATCAAAATGTACCTATTAGCAAAGAAATATTTTTGCAAAAATTTTTATTTTTGGAGCATGAAGAAAAAATGTATGAATTGAAAAGCAAAGGCTAAGAGTTAAAATTGTTTTTTAAAAGGGCTTATTACAAAATAAGATAACAAACTTTCCGGTCAAATTTGTTTGTCTTTAACAATCCAGAAACAATCCCTGGAACCATGTGAGTTGTTTATTGGATACAGACAGGCAGACAAAAATTCTAAAGGAATTGAGTATTTGCCTCTTTGCCACAAACTCTAATTTTCTCTATTTCTTTGCAACCCGGTGTAAAAGACCTTAGATATTTCAACTTTGAATTCTGTTAGATCTAATAATCTAAGTTTAAAGAACCAAAGGTTTACAAAGTAGTAAGAACTTGTACATTGTGATAATATGCGACAAAATTAAATGACAATACAGACTACAGAGTTATAAAGTCGTTATAGATATAAAGTCGTTATAGTCGTTATCTATACATAAATTTAGCTTGTCTGTCTGTTTTTCGGTTTGTCTAATAAACGTCGAAACGGCTGAACCGACCGGACCCATATTTAGTGCCTTACCTCACGCAACTTTGAGAAAGGTTTATGAATGATCAAATTTTAAAAATTGTTGAAATAGAAGATGGGCGCGAAGCGCCTTAAAAGCCTAGTAGCTATATAGTCCTTATAGTTACATAGTCGTTACAGTCGTTATAGTTACAGTTGTTGAAGGTTGAGAGTGGTGTATTGACCCTAAACTTTTAAAAACGTGCCCAGAATTATTTTAGGATTTCCACGACCCTTCCTTTCAGGTTAAATTGCAGTTAAGACATACTTAATTTTCTTTCAGGCAAAATGAAATTGTTAATTTAATATTTGAATTAACTGAAACTAGAAACATGACTAGCATTTTAGAGGAAGGGGGGGATATTTGATGGGGGGGGATATTTGATGAAGGGGGTGGGAAGCGAGATTTCTTGGGGGAAGTGACATATTTTATGGAGGGGGAAGGGGGTTAGGGTTTCCACTATTGTTTGTCAGGCGAATGGATAAACAATGTATAGATTGTGTACAAGGAACAGTAAAAAGTAAAAACTAAAAAGAATAGTTTGATAAACTGATAATAAATATCCCTCTCACCTTTGCAGTTTCTATAAGCCGCTGCATTATACATTTTACTTGGTTCTCTAGAGATTGTTTTGAAACTTTCTTCCCACAACTGCAAATCCAGGTATCTCCTTTCAATACCAGTTCTCCTTTCAGGCCTCCTTCACCTTTCAGGCTTCCTTTTCCTTTCTGGTTTTCTTCGTGTCTTAAACTCCTACAGGAGCAAACACAGCGGGTTATGGTTCTCGGTAGATGTTCTAAATATCAATTAAAAAAATGAAAAAATTGAATTTTAGAAATAAATCAAAATGAAGGATGAATGGACAGTGACATCGAAGTAAAAGGGACTGTAAGCTAAATTCCAAGGAACCCTCCAGGGAAAGATGGCAATGCCTGATTTACAACTGTACCCTTGAAACCTTAATTTGATCAAAAAGTGTTTAATTCTGAAAATTTCTCTGTTGTTTCTTTTAAGCAAGTAAATGCGTGAGTCAATTTCACAGAGAAACCACAAATGAACATTTTAAAGAAACAAAAACATGAATATATAATTCATACTTGGATCAGACAACGCTTTTAAGGGCACCGTAAAACGAGTCACTTGAAATTAAGCTTACAGTCCCTTTAAACTACATCTTGCTATATTTACTAAATTCCTAGTTTAAGTACCTGCTAATGGATAGTTTAATGTACATGCAGTACAACTGCAGATAAAACCATGGTACTCCTTGAAACAAAAAGAATTTAAATTTAAAATTAGGTATACGCCCTTAATGAACGAGAATACCATATGCTTCAGTAATTAAGTTATACGTCAAAAGTTAAGACTTTTCTCTGGATTTTTGTTACAATATCCTAAAATTCACAGCCTTACCCCCCCCCCTCCTTGTTAATTTTCATCGCCAAAGAAAGGAGTCCTTCCCAAAATAATTTTATGTTAGCATACATGTTTTGATTATGTTTAAAATATAATCTAACAAAATTACATCAAACTACAAATGAAGATAATTGTTAATTTAACCTGGAGCCAATTATGACGACTGATTCTAGTGGAAAGACTAAAATGAGGTCCATAATTATCCGTCACTTCCTCACCCTGTAGTATGGGTCTACTAGCCACCAGGAACACAGTGTTCCCAACGAAGTACTTGATGGTGTTAGGATCACATGAATGGTTGAGGAACGCTAGACTTGTATACAGAGCAGATCCAATACTCTCCATCCTGAACTCGGAACCTGCCTGGTCATGAACACACTGCATCACAGAGTGGCAGTTGTACTGTACAATCTAAACAGAGGGGTTATTATGAACACAAACCGGCGAGATCATGTACAGTTGTCAAGGAGTAATTGAACTAAGGCGAATATGATACTGTAACTTGTTATAGGACGGATCTTAAACTAGTTTTATTTTTTATTTCAATTTTGAAATGTCGCTTTAGAAGATGCAATCAAGCGATCGAGATTATGTTTATCCAATACAATAGTTACTAGCTCAGATCGAGATTATGTTTATCCAATACAAAAGTTACTGGCTCAGATCGAGATTATGTGCATCCAATACAAAAGTTATATCGAGATTATGTTTATCCAATACAAAAGTTACTAGCTCAGATCGAGATTATGTATATCCAATACAAAAGTTACTAGCTCAGATCGAGATTATGTTTGTCCAATACAAAAGTTACTAGCTCAGATCGAGATTATGTTTATCCAATACAATAGTTACTAGCTCAGATCGAGATTATGTATATCCAATACAAAAGTTACTAACTCAGAAGTCTGAACTCTCGTGTCAATCTCCGGATCAAGCATTGACCTCAATCTTAAGCTGATCTCTACAGATTAATTCAATTCCTCTCCATATCCTGCAAGGATAACTTTAGATGAGGTATCAAGCATCAAAGTGCTGAAATTGTATATCGAGATCAAGGGTCCATGACTAACAATATCCCCACAAAAGTTCCAAAAGTTCCACAAAAGTTCCAATCTCTGACTAGAAAATTGAAGTACTTTTTCAAGGATGAGATTAAATTTTCTTTAAACTTGTTTACTCCTTATTAATCATTGAAGAGGATTTGAATAAAAGAAAACCATTCAAACTGAATAAAATTCTAAAAAAAAACGAAAACTGTAATTTTCTTGGATCAACTTTTTCTACTCTGTAAATTAATTTACTAAAGTTGTTTTCAAAATATGGATAAATTGTATGGAAAGCTGATTCAAAGAATTAAACAAAATTTGATTTTACAAAAACAAGTTAATCTGATGTTATGATCATATTTACCTTGACAATCCTGAATAAGAGTTCTCCAGTTTTCAATTTGTTGATGTTTCTCCCAAGGTTATCAGTTAAACCCCAAATTTCCTGAGAATCTCCGCTCAACATATAAAAATCTTTTTCATCGAAAACCTCTAAACAACAATTTTAATCTTAAAGGGAGTTTCTGAATTTGTATGGACGCTACGTTCTTCAGCATAAGTCGTTTTTAACAATTTTCTACTTAAAGACTCAACAGATAGAAGTAAGATTAGTAGCGATCAAAAGTGATTATTTTTCGCCGTAAGCCTATTATACCCCTTTCATCTTTCGCGAACACTCCCTTTAAAGGAACTGTAGACGTAGTTTCACGTGACCTTCTATATTTAGAATGGCATGTCTGATTCTAAAAGCTTAGCCTGATCAAGAATGTTTTATTAAAAGAATTGATTATTTTTATTTGTGGTTTCATCTATTAATTAACTTGTGAATTTCTACTTTAGAAAACAAGGGAGGAAAATTTTCCCAAGTAAACGTTCCTAAGGCGAGAAAAACGAAGATATCTTTCACGTTTTTAATCAGAGAAAGATTTAAAGAGTTTCGTTGTGAATCTGGCATGCCCTTCCTTAAATAAAAGTTAACTTGAAATTAAAACGACAGTCCCTTTAAAGGGATAGTTCCCTAGTATCAAGTGATTATCTATTAAAAGAGTTCCTTTAAAGGGACAGTTCCCTAGTATCAAGTGATTATCTATTATAAGAGTTCCTTTAAAGGGACAGTTCCCTAGTATCAAGTGATTATCTATTATAAGAGTTCCTTTAAAGGGACAGTTCCCTAGTATCAAGTGATTATCTATTATAAGAGTTCCTTTAAAGGGACAGTTCCCTAGTATCAANATAAAAAATTCAATTTTTGCAAATTTGCAAATTTTTTGCAGATTCTAAAAGTAGAGCAGAAGAGCTTTCCAATGATGTATCATTTGTCATATTTGGACATTAAACATGGGATTTATAGACCCCCCCCCTCCCCCAGCATATCCTGGTTTTCAAGCACCCCAGCAGAGATAGGGTTAACAATGCATTATCTTGTTTTCTATGTTTATATTCTTACCTAAGTAAAGAAGAACCATAATGAAAGTCCAAAAATCTTTTTCCAGTGATACATTGGCATCCCAGCCGCACAGGTTCAAAACAGAGAGGAAATCCATCTCCTGCTGTTCAACTGATCTGGAGAAATCCAAACTCTCCTCGTCTAGAAATGTTTGAATAGTTTCTAGAACCTGAGAACATCTCCTTGCTCTAGCGAGTATCCTGAACCCTAGTCTATAGTATTGAGGAAAGGATGGAAGAATCTGGTTCTCCAATACTACCCTGGAGATAGTCTCGTGAACCCCGCACTCTAGCATATGGGATTCCATGCTCTGGGTTCGGCAGTCCACGGAGCAGTACCGTGCCGTGATACAGGAGGTACAGGGTATCGGAGCAAGTAAGCAGTCTGTAAGACAGCTATCACATTTCTCCGAAACTGAATCATTAAGAACCACGGAGCCAGCAGGACGCTCGGTTCCAATCAGTTCTCCAACCTAGGAATACATCAGGGAGTAAGGAATAGAAGGGAGATATAACTGACGCGGCTCGCCCTACCATATGATTATACATGCTTTGCAGACGGGTACTTCATTTGTACATGAAATGTTCAGAATAGGTTATTGTATACGCAGTAAATGTACATCAGACAAACACTTCTTATACAAATGGAGTACTCGTCTGCAAAGCATGTATAATCATATGGTAGGGCGAACCGCGTCAGTTATATCTCCCTTGTATTCCTTACTCCCTGGAATACATACATAGTTACTGAACCTGAGAATTTTTCAACGGAATATTAATAATGTTTATTTAAGATTATATTTATTTCTCATAAAAATCAACTGCAGCAAGGCTAAACATTTTTTGTAAACCCTCGGGGGTTTTCCGACGGCAGCATCAACAATGCACACTGTAGTTATGTTGAAAGTACAATGCACACTGTAGTTATGCTGAAAGTACAATGCACACTGTAGTTATGCTGAAAGTACAATGCACACTGTAGTTATGCTGAAAGTTTATTAGATTCAGTGCGGAAGTTTTTATCAACTACTCCGTAGAGAAACATGTAATTTAAAATTTTAAACTGTCTTTATTGAACTGGAAAATTTACAATTTAGCAGTTTTAAAATTTAATCCTGTAAATTAAATATGCGCGGCCTGTTCTTCAAAAGTTGAATATGATATAACGAATTTCTGTTTTGTAGAATTAACATAATTTTAAAAAACTCAGTATTAAACTTCAGGTTTGAAGGTAGAAGAAAAAACAGTAATTGAAGAGATTAAACGAGAATAAGAGGTTTTATGAGATCTGAACCTGAATATCCCGATCTGCAACCATAAATCGTCCTGAGCCGGGGAGAAACTGAACCTGAACTATATCATTAAACCCTGCAAACTTGGGATGTTTTCTCCTCGCAGGTTGGACAGGTTGGGGAGGTTGGGCAGGTGATGAGTTCTTTTTTAATTTTACTTCTTTAATCAGTGATTCAATGGTTTGAAGGGATGATGTTTTCGTTGCACACTCTATGCATATGACACGATTATCCATCAGTCCAGATTTCTGAAGAAATTTCATGGTTCAAAGAGGAATTGATAAATTATTAAACTCTCCCTTCTTTCTCTCCATTATCTTGGAAATGGTTTTCTTTCACAATTCTGCTCATTGCAAACAGACATGTAATATCAGGGAGGAGGAAGGGGGGGAGGGAGGACCCCCCCATTTTATGAGGGGGGAGAGGGGAGAGGAAGGGAAGAAATCCATATTAGTGAAGAGGGGGAAGGGGATGAATGGAAAGAGGAAGGAGCCTCCCTCCCCCGTTAGTATCAGAGAGGTGGGGAATAAGGGGNCCCCCCCCCCCATCAGGGAGGAAGGGGTGGGAAGGGCAGGGATTTTATTGATCTAGAAATATTTTTATGAAAGATCTCGTTGACATATTTCCTTGTTGTGATTGATTAATTGAATCTCTGGCTTTAATCAAATCCTCAAGAGCTCCAGTCCTGTCTCCTGAAATAAAGTTTTATACAAATATACAAGGTCTTTAAAATAACACTTTGGGATATTTTTCAAATCTCTGAAAATGTGAAAATGTGAAAATGTAAAAATGTAAAAAACTGTTTTAAACAATAATATACAAATCCTCTTTCTTGTAATAAAAAATATAGCTTTGAATAAGATTGTTTTGCAACTTTTCTCTTGGTAAACATCAATTAAAAATTTTAAGATGAAAAAAGAAAATGATTCTTAGTAAAAAACTGATTTAGAAACTTAACGAGGAACTAAGGATACGGTCAAATACAAGTTATATAGATCATTGCTTCAGTACTTTTATACATTTTTACATTTAAATTTTTTTCTTCACAATTACATTCTTTGCTTCAATATAATATATACCTAGAGCAATACAAGCCCTAGCTCTTCTCTCTAGAACCTTGTAGATAAGATTAGATGGATACCCATAGACGAGCGCTAAATCTGTCTCAGCAATCATTTAATCATGTTTTATATACACTAATATACTGTATACAGAATATTAAGTGTTCTTCTATCCTGGTCAAATAAAATACATTAATGTTTAGAAAATAAACATTATCTAATAATATATAAAATAGAAAATGTGTAAAAACTTCATCAAAAGTCTGAAACATTCGTAGTTTAGCCTGGTATAAATAATATAGATACAAAGAATACAGTCTAGTCTGGTATAAAGAATACAGTCTAGTCTGGTATAAAGAATATAGTTTAGTCTGGTATAAAGAATAGTCTAGTCTGGTAAAAAGAATACAATCTAGTTTGGTGTAAAGAATACAGTCTAGTCTGGTATAAAGAATGTAGAAAGTCTAGTCTGGTATAAAGAATATAGTTTAGCCTGGTAAAAAGAATATAGTCTAATTTGGTATAAAGAATATAGTCTAGTCTGATATGAAAAATACAGTCTAGTCTGGTATAAAGAATAAAGGTTAGTCTAGTATAAAGAATATAGTCTAGTTTGGTATAAAGAATATAGTCTAGTCTGATATAAAGAATATAGTCTAGTCTGGTATAAAGAATATAGTCTAGTCTGGTAAAAAGAATATAGTTTAGTCTGGCATAAAGAATATAGCCTAGTCAAGTTTAAAGAATATAGTCTTATTTGGTATAAAGAATATAGTCTAGTATGGTATAAAAAATACAGTCTAGTCTGGTATAAAGAATATAGTCTAGTATGGTATAAAGAATACAGTCTAGTCTGGTATAAAGAATATAGTCTAGTCTGGTATAAAGAATACAGTCTAGTCTGGTATAAAGAATATAGTCTAGTCTGGTATAAAGAATATAGTCCAGTTTGGTATAAAGAATATAGTCTAGTATACTATAAAAAATACAGTCTAGTCTGGTATAAAGAATATAGTCTAGTTTGGTATAAAGAATATAGTCTAGTATGGTATAAAAAATGTCTGGTATAAAGAATATAGTCTGTTCTGATACCAGAGAATCTGAGAACTGTTGAATAAGACAGATAACCTATAAGGTTGCCAGATATACTTCAGTTCTGAGAAATATTTGAATAATGATTATTTGATTCCTATGTCTTGGATAGTTTTCTTGTATTCTCCTCTTCTATACAACAGAACTATTTATTCAACCTGCTCATATACCAAGCTACAAGCTTAGGATACAACCCAGAGTATACATAGATAAATAGGATACACAACCAGACACATGTATTCAACCTTCTCATATACTAAGCTACAAGCTTAGGATACAACTAGAATACACATGGATAAATAGGATACACAACCAGGCACATGTATTCAACCTGCTCATATACCAAGCTACAAGCTTAGGATACAACTAGGATACACATGGATAAATAGAATACACAACCAGGCACATTTATCCAACCTGCTCATATACAAAGTTACAAGCATAGGATACAACTAGAATACACATGGATAAATAGGATTCACAACCAGGCACATTTATCCAACCTGCTCATATACCAAGCTACAAGCATAGGATACAACTAGAATACACATGGATAAATAGGATACACAACCAAACACATTTATCCAACCTGCTCATATACCAAGCTACAAGCATAGGATACAAGACAACCCTGCGGAATATAATAAGATTAAGGAACTGAACAATTGCCTAAAACTCTTGTACGTATAATCCCTTTATCTTTGCAACCTGATGGTGTAAACCTTTATATTTCGAACTTATTATATCTAATGTAACAGACTTTATAGATGGAAGTATCGAAGGTACGTCTGCGACATCATGTTGAAAAGAACTAGAAAATATAAGTTTGAGGTAAGTGTTTAGATCCTTTACAAATCTGTGTATACACAAAAACCATGTTTATCAATAAACAGAATATTTGGAGAAATCCATTTTTTGTTTAAAGTAATAACAAACACAGTTTCCAAGTTCTGCCCATAAAGAATATTGATTAAAATACTTTGTCATATTTATTTATTACATTCTGAAGAAAACTCAGAAATAAGTGAAAAAAAACAAGAGTGAAAGAAGGTTTAATAAGGTTTAGAATAACAAGAGTAAAATAGTTTTGTCAGGTTTAGAATAACAAGAGTAAACTAGTTTTGTCAGGTTTAGAATAACAAGAGTAAACTAGTTTGGTCAGGTTTAGAATAACA